TTTGTTTATTTATGTCCTTTAGATTGAGTTCCTGTTTTTTTTATAAATTGTCACAGAAGTGACCGGGTGAGAATATAATTTATATTGCTGGAATTCTTATAAGATAGTGATTAATTTGAATATAATCATGCTATAGCTTGCACTAAACAAAACTTTTAGTAATCATTTAGTACATTATTTTGAGTACATGCACAGTACAGCTTTGCCCTTAGGACAGTGTAGCGTGCCCAGAGAAACATTAGGCGCGAATTTTAAAATATGATGTGCCAGATTGACTCGTGTAAAAAAATAGGAATGATTCGCTTTAAATAAAAACATTGTCCTTAATTGTGGGTGTCGATTTAAATCAATAATCTCAAATTGAATCCCTTTAAATCGACGTTCTACTGTAATAGATCCAGTTCGTGAGATTTTCAGTTAACGAGTGACTCTGTGGAACAAATTGTGCTCGTTAATGGAGGGACCACTGTATAGGCTTTATTTTTACATCACTTGGTGGCAACTCTTCTGTTAAGTCAACAAAGCCTTGGGAAATACTAACAAAATAATGTCATGAAAATCAGCCAATGATTTCCCGCATCCATTTTCCACACTGTCTTTCTTTGGTTTCCCCACCTCAGAAACTCATACTTGACAGGTAATTAGCATTGAAAAAGAGTCATTAAAATTTTCCAAGTGTCATTACAACCACTAATTACCCAGCAATCAAATTATGGACCATAGATTCGGAATCAGCATGCTCAGGAGTACCTATAGAACCCTCGAAGATCCAGACTAAAAGGCGGGACCACCTTTCCATAAAAGCGTATTGTCCGGATTTTCCTTCGAATAATAAATGATATAAGAAACACCCAAAATACATTACTAATGTAGTGATAAACAAATTACAGTATATAAACCATGCATTTACCTATGATAACATAATAAGAAACATTGTATCATTATTAGTGAATGAAATAATATTCCCACAAATAACAATTGTCAACTCTGTTTATGTTTCCCACGTCCTCGAGCACCTGTGTCCAAGCAGCTGACGGGTCAAGCAGTGCCCACGGCCCTAAAATTTTCTTTGCTCTGGTTTGGGAAAATTTCTTAGGGAAACTTCTATGAGACGTCTTAGCCCAGGACCCCCAATTTTTTTTTTTTTTTTGGATCTTCCAAAATCCGGATTTCCTGGGTCCGGATCTTCGAGGGTTTACTTTACTTTTACTTTTATCCTCTTCGCCACTGATCGGCTTGTTAGCCGCTTGGGCGATCGGTCACGTCTCTTTTCCTTTATATTCTTCACCAAAAGGTCGGCTCGCTAGCCGCCCGGGCGATCGGTCACGTCTCTGTCACGCACTGTTGGCAAATACTGGGCATGCACCGGCTCCTGAATGTACCTGAACCCGCTCCAGTGTTGGTCAAGTCTTCTCTTGAAAGAGCTCACACTCGGTGCCGTCACAACACTCTCTGGTAGATTGTTCCAAGAGTTTACAACCCTCACTCCGAAAAAGTTTGCCCTCACGGTTTTGGACTTGCGGCTTCTTCAATCTTGAGCTGTGACCCCTTGTGGGGCGAGCGTCCGCCAGCTCCAAGTAAGGACACTCAACTGAGTAGTGCCCCCTGAGATGCTTATAAACCTCAACTAGGTCCCCCCTTGCCCGTCTGTAGTATAAGCTAGGCAAGTTCAGGCGCTCCAATCTCTCAGGGTAGCTGAGATGCCGAAGTGCAGGCACCAGTTTGGTGGCCCTCCTTTGAACATTTTCAACCAACTGACAGTCCCTAGCATATCTCGGGGACCAAATGGGGTGACAGTACTCCAGGGTAGGTCTCAATCACTTAATTTCCAGCACTCACAAACAAATTTAACTATTATTTTTCCAGAAGGGTAACTGTTACTGAACTCAGCCTAAGGGCAATGTTTACACTAGTGATACCGACACCTTTCAAAACATTAAAATATGTGTTGGTGTTAACTACAGTTTCATACAAACAAATGTTACGAGGGCAGTTACTCGTAATATTTGCTGGTAAATTGTTTAATAATTTAATTACAGTATATTCATGCAATGCACCCGATTTTGTAAACATTTACACGAATGTGCTGTAAATTTGTAAACAAGGCAAACGTATGGGAACAGCTGGCTGGCCTGCGGCAAACTGGCCAGTTTGTGAATTTCACTAGATTCATCCTAAAGTTGCTACAAAGTCACTAAATACATAAAAAAATCTGGAAAATACTGGTACATGTAAGACATTATCTAAAAAGAGAATAATTGTCAACAATGACTTGGCTAGATGCCAAAAACTGTCGCAAGTGACAAGAGTATGTGCTTGTTGCTGTATACGGCTAGTACAGTGTACTACCATATACTGTCAATATAAAGTACAACATGCTTTGCTTAACATGTACAGTACCATAATTATTAAGTTTGAAAATTTTTTACTTGTCAATATATTTAAAAATAAACTATCAGTACAGTACTAATAAATTTTCATTACTTACCTTGTGTACGCGGTATTTTAAATATCTTTATGCTTGTAGAACTGTATTGTTGTGATTGGCTTACACCAAATTTGTATGCCCGAGTAATGTTTGTTTGTAAGAAAACCATAGTTAACACCGAAAGGTATTTTAATGTTTTGAAAATGCTACAATTAGGTAAAACTTGCTTGTGAGTGTTGCTGAAACGTAAATGTTGGCAAGTTTAGCCGAGGACATAGCTTTCAAATTGCAGTTCAGGTAGTCGACTTCATTGCTAAGTATACTGTATAGGTCTAGGTCAACAATTTCAGTTGTAAATAATTATATGCCAAGTCAACTTATAGGCCACTATATAAAGTAATTAAGTACTTCAAGAATAACACAAAACACCAAAAAATCACATGAAAAACCATAGTTGGCAAGTAATTAGCATGTCTGAAACACGTCTGAAACACCTTTTGAAACTCGTTCAGAAACATATCTGAAACACATTTGAAACATGTTCTGAAACACGGCTTCAGTTCCTGAAGCCATGCTTTTTGAACTTGGCTTCAGCTTTGAAACATTCTAAAGGCTTCGACTTTGAAACCAGAGGCATGGCACCGGTTTCAGCTTCAAAGCTTCAGGCTTCGGATTTTCATCTTTACGCAGACACACTGACCATATTATATAATTTTATTTAGATCATACTAAATAAATATATCAAATTAGTGGCAAATCCAAGGCAGCACAATTTTAACCTGACTTGACAAGTGACATGGGTTGTTGTTTTGGAGTCGAAATTACTGACCATTATGTCATTGATCAGTGCCGACACGAGCAGATATTGTCACAGGTCAATCAGGTCAGATCTCCACCCCCAGGTAGTGCCGGGGAGAGTAACCTTTAGATGATCAGGTCAAATGTGAGTTGACCATGTGACCTTGATCTCACCTTACATGAACTGAGATCCACACTGACATCACAAGTTATCCCCACTGGTCTATTCTCACAAGAACCTGATCTGAATGTCGGAAGAGATCAAAGATACCAAACGATTGTAACCTGCCATTAGCTAAAAATAATTTGATGATTCCTTCCAATGTTTCTGTGTGATTTGTGACTGTAAATTACTGTTTATGTATAGTCGATAAAATAAATTTTGAAAGAAATTTTTTTACTATAAGTAACCAATTTTTAACTTATAGGGAGTCAAAACTCACCCCAAAAACAATCAGCTTAAAATAAGGTCAGCTTATCTCAAAGCCTTGCTGCATTATTATTGTTGTTATCATTATTATACAGGTTGTGCCTCTCTAGTACAGCATTCTGTGGTCCGTAAACTCCCGTGGTCCGGAACGATTTTAGTTTGCCCATGAAGAAAATTAATTTGAGTCTGGTACTTTCGATGTTTGTCTAAATTTGGCCTTATTTACCCTACTTTTTTGGCAAATTACTACCTGTAATAAAGCAACATCCTAATAAACCAACGAAAATAACAGATAAAAGTTAAATAAAAACTAAAAACAACACAGAAAAGTTCTTATGTTCTACAGCTTTAGCTAGAGTTGAACCTGATGGCTTGTCAACTTCGTCATCCCAGTAAAAACACACACAACAACATTGGCTGTCTTTATGTTTTCAGCTTTACCACCACTAGTGGATAGAATTTTTGTTTTAAATTCAGAATCATTAATTAAAATACTGTATATATGAACAGTAAATAGGTGTTGCTTTCATATTCTTATGTAGAGTAATGACAATATGTTTATACATGTGCTCACTTACATACGTGATCTCACTTTTTTCTTTACCATTAATGGTTAGCTACTTCCAATGTTCCATTTATTAACATTAAACAACATTACTTAAAACAACCATATTAATTTTACTACAGCTACAACCAGGGTCTTATTTTCTTCAGTTTTATATGTAGAACCAATCAGTCACTGGTTTTGTAAACATTAACGAAAACAATACCGTCTCATCTCCTCGTGTGTTTTAATATTCTACGTATTATTAATGAATTGTATTGTTCATTTTGCACACATAAACATTAATTCAATCAAAAGATATTCAGTAATAAACAATAATGAATGTTTTGTACATTGAGAAATGACGCTGTTTACACAATTGTGCATGTCTGAACGTTGGCGGGCCGCTCAAACCAGTCGAAATTCGAGTTTTCGCCGTCGAAATTTTAAATTGTGCAGTGTTTTTTTTGTGTCCAAATAAAAAACTAGCAAAATTTGAGAACTTACTGTACAACATTTAACCCTTCAATATATCTTCAAAGAGACCACGAAGCAGTGAAAGTGGTGCTAGAGCTTTTAAGTGTATGCACAAGTCACTATCTATCCAGGAAAAGGGTGAATTTCCATGGTCCGGCACTGGTCAGGTCCCGAGGTTGCCGGACTAGAGAGGTACAACCTGTATTATATTATTTTTAATTGTGTATTTTTTATTCTAAATTTGATTTACTAAAACTTATTATTATTATCATTATTATTATTATTATTATTATTATTATTATTATTACATTTTCGCCCCCCAGGCTTTATTTGAACTCTGCGGGCCTTGTTTGTACTTTCGCCGCTAGGCGGCACTAGTGGCGTGACTAGCGTCTACCCGCGGCCCGCCTTCCCTGAACACAGACATCAGCCAAGCCGCATGGGCAACAGTCTTTGATTTTCAACTTTTGCTGGTGGTTCATCACATCAACTTATATCACCATGCCTCCCAAACGACCTGCTGCTCCCTCTGGATCTACACCTAAGAGGGCAAGACGAGTGCTGACGCTGAATGAAGTGCTGAAACAACTCGACAGCGGTATGAGCTACGCAGCTGTTGGCCGCCACTTTGGGCTCAACGAATCCAGTCTGCGTGGAATTAAACGACGTGCAAAGGATCTGAAGCACGCTTTAGCTTCAAGTGCACCAGTGACATCAAAAGTGACAAGCCATGTGCGTGATGATGCCCTCATTAAAATGGAAAAAGCACTGAACATTTGGATAGAGGACCTAAACCGCCGCCGCATACCACTTGACTCGAAATTTATTAGGCAGAAAGCTAAGGAACTTTATGATAAGTTTTCTAAAGGTGATGATCATGGTGTTGGTGATGGTGATGATCAGGGTGATGGTGATAATCAGGGTGATGGTGATAATCAGGGTGATGGTGACAATTTGAAAAAATTTGCAGCTAGCAAAGGATGGTTCGAGAAATTCAGACATAGTTATGGGCTGCATAATATAAAAGTGACTGGCGAAGCAGCATCAGCAGACACTGTGGCAGGGGAAGCATACCCTGCAGAGTTTGCTAACCACATAGAACAAAAGGGTTATAGGCCGGAACAAGTTTTTAATGCTGATGAGTCAGGCCTATGGTGGAAGAAGATGCCACGCCGAACCTACATCTCTAAAGAGGAAAAAAGTGCCCCTGGATTTAAAGTTGCGAAGGACCGAGTGACAGTGATGCTATGTGGGAATGCGGCAGGGCATATGATTAAGCCCATGTTGTTATACACTGCCGCACGACCTCGGGCTCTCAAAAATAAAAACATGAACTTGCTACCAGTTTTCTACAGGAACAACAAGAAAGCGTAGATGACATCTGATTTGTGCGTGGATTGGCTGAAAAACTGCTTTGCTAGAGAGGTGAAAGATTATCTGGATGAACTTGGCATGGAGTTCAAAGTGGTATTATATCTAGATAATTGCCCTGGCCACTCTGAAGAACTCAAGACTGCCCACCCCAACATTGAGGTGGTTTTCCTGCCAAAAAACACCACCTCCATCATCCAGCCAATGGACCAGGGAGTCATTGTCGTGTTTAAGGCTAAATATGCAGAGAAGACTTTCAGCATGATTCGTGAGTGCCTTGATAAGGATGCTGATGTGACACCCAGAGAAATGTGGAAGAAATTTGATATTGCACAGTGCATAAACTTCATCGCTGAAAGCCACAATGAACTGTCGCAGAACTGTGTCCGATCATGTTGGAAAAAATTGTGGCCTGAAATTGTCCCAACATTCACAGGGTTCCCAACAGCCGAGCCTCAGTTACGCAACATAATAACTATGGCAAATGAAGTTGGAGGTGAAGGGTTCTCTGACTTAACAGCGGCAGAGGTGCAAGAAGAGTTATTGGGAAATGTTGGGGATCCATTTACAAGTGATGAACTAGAACAATTAGTGGAGCTGCAGGATGAAACAGAAGATGAAGTGAGTGATGATGAAAATAAGAACTTAACTTTAGATAATCTTGGTGAAGTAATAAGAATGAGTAAGGCCCTCTCTGCTCGTCTCTATGACATTGATCCCTCCCTTGATAGGTCCCTTAAAGCAAAGAGAGCTATTGAAAATGTTATGTTGCCATATATAGAACTGCAGAGGGAAATGAGAAGCAAGAAAGCACAGACCACCATCACCAACTTCTTCAGTCGCCGAGTGCCTGCCATCGCCGAACCTGCCGGCATCCTGCAACAGGGAGGCAGAAGCTGCCGACACCTCACAACAACAAGACGTAGAAGCTGCCGGCACCTCACAACAACAAGACGCAGTACCTGCCCACACCCCTCAAGAAGATGCAGACCTTGACTCATCATACTCATCTGACTGGTCAGGCTTTTAATAAGCCTCAATCATCACACTTGTATATACTGTACACTGTATTGTTTACTGTAAGGACCGATGTTCACTTCAATAAATGAAATCGTAAGTTTGCTAGTATTTTTGTCCACTTATTATATTATTATTTATACACTATTATTTAAGGTTATGTGTAAAGGAAACGCATTAATGCTTAAAGGTACATTTATTCAACATATGCTAATAATAGTTAGAAAAATTACGTAACCATCACGGTATCGACGGCCGTCTACAGAACGTAACCCCCGTCGATAAAGAGGGAGTACTGTACTATATTATATAAATAATAGGTATTAAGGTTTCATGAATCTTTGCAAAGCCTTGGATTTGGCTTCATGACTTTTTTAACATCTGGCTTTGGTTTCACTACTTTTAATGTCTGGCTTAAGCTTCATGATATTCCAATGGCTTCAGCTTTGAAGCCAGAGGCTTGGCTTTGTCCCCATGCCTGTTTGCTGTACAGTACTCTATTTCAATTATGAAACAAATAAAAAAATACATATCAGATAAATTTGTTGAAATGCTACTCAAAACACTATTAGATGAGCCTAATTGTTGTGTTCAAATTTCACATAAATCAATACATTAATAATAATAATAAACGTTCCAGCAGGGCGATGGCCTTAAGCTTAGCAAAGTAAATTTTGCCTCGCTCTGTGACATCACACAGTGGGGTTGAAGATGTCACTGAAATTTTGTAATGTTTTCCTCGTTATCTTTATATTTTTATTACCACTAATTTTAATAAGTTGATTTTTTCTTCTCCAGTTGTGGAAATTACCAGAGACCAACATAGAAAAGTTATTATCCCTTTAGATATCAGTAGATAAATACGACAAAGAGTAAATACTAAAGAACTGTAGTGACTCTGGGTTGTCCAGCCAATCAGCTGCCTTGTTATAAACTGGCCCTAGGCCTCAGTTGCAAAGTTTGAGTGAACAGACTACAGGTCTTAATTTCTACAACACAACTTCAAAAATTCAGAAATAGAGGATTGAGCCCCAAAATCCCATTTTAAGTCTAGTCTTAGACAATAAATCCTTCAATATGTTATTTTTAGCTTCCGGTAGTAGATTTTAGTTTCAATGTCTTATTATTTAGTTTCAATTTCTTATTAAAAATCATCTTTCAAAAAGAGGTTATTAACTCAATTATTCAAGAATTTTCAACCCTGTCTTAAGTGAAGTAACAAAATAAATAACAGTAAGAGACAGACACAAAGGTCCTGACTTATGGAGAGGCAACATCTAAAATACTGTGTTAAGAAGGACATGCGGGATTATGAACAAGAAACTGAGCCACATCTATTCAAAGATAAATATGTGATTCACAGTACAGTATATTAGTGCAGTACTTATCACAGCAGTTGTCAGGTAACTTTCCATTTGTCAAAACTTCTTAAAAATAATAATACTGACTTTAGAGAACTTAAAGAGAAAGTTGTCATATAGATGCCAGCTATGGAATATCTCAACCGTAATTAAAACATTTTCCGCTAAATTATGAAATTCACCTTTGCTATCACATCTCATAATTTGTTTATCTCCATATAATGCTGACTTTATCGACTACAGCATCACTACATAAACATTTCCCTGATGAATTACACTATTTGGTCTAAAACTGGTGCTGCTTACCATACATTTCATAATAACCAAACTACCCGACGGTGACTAGTGCAATGTGAAACTTATGACATGAAAAGTGGTCTGGTACTGAATTCCAGCTTCACTTTCCAGGATCTTCAGTCTGGCTGCAGTAATGAAGAGGTTACAATAGAGATGAATCTATCCCTCATCTTCAACTTGAACCATTCGTACCACTGAGAAACACGCAAGCGACGAAGTGCTTTATACTGTTTGCTGTACCTAGTAGAAAAAAAAAATCAGCCTGGGAATAAGACATGAGTGTTATACAGTAGTTGTTTATGCCATGGGCGCACAGACTTGGCATAAATTATTCACTACAATCACAGTTACTCTTTATGACAGCCCTAACTCATAAACAAAGCAAGGCATCTCCTTAGGTTGAAGAGTTATAATTAGAACTGGCTTTTAATAAAGCGCCATAAAATTTAAGAGCTCAGAAAGAAACATTAACTCCATGCATGTTACCCAGTTTTATTTTTGCCAGCAGTTGAAGAGCTGAGACATGATAGGAATAGAGGTTAGGACCACCCCTTACCCCTTACATTGTGCAATGCAAGGTGAGTTAGTTATCTATTTTAATTATCTTTTTAACCTCTTCACTACGGGGATGCCACTTTTAAAATGTTATTTGGTTAACGTCAGACGATTTTATTCTGCTCAGAGGGACTCTGTACACAAAGGGCTAAAGATTCAAGCCCACTAGCTTAGGTCAGCAGAGATGCTACCTGTCAAGTCGAGTTCAAGGCTTAGAGGACGATTGTTTTTGTATCTACATTTTTTTTAGCAAATGGAGTGTTGGGAAATTCTCTTAAAACAAGGGCCATTGAAACTGTGATTTCAGCAATAGAGAATTTTTATTTTATGCTCATGAGCTTAATCTATTGTTCAACATTTTGTCTTTCAAAAACCAAGTTGCATTTCAAGGTGAAATAAAATCAGATAGCAATGAGAATCTTTAGAAGTCAGTCAGTCGTGTAAAATACACTGAAGGAGTATATAAATGTAGCAAACACACACAACCGTTTTTCATTCTCCTTTGCTTATAAATGGCCAACCAGTACTGCTAGCACCATCTTACTAGACCAGTTGAGGGGAAAGTGTCTCATATTTCAAAGCGCAGGCACGCGCGCACGCACGCACACACACAAATTTTTTTTTTTTTATTAGAGATCATATAAAATTATCATTCTGAAAAGCCAGCCAGACACCAATCATTGAGTCAAAGGAAAACACACAGCATAACATACCTGCGTTCTTTGGCTAGAATTTTGGGTAATTGTTCCCAAGTCTTGACCCAAATTACAGGGGGACCATGTCGTTTCAGAAGCCTCCACGGTTGACTATCACACTGTCCCTTAGTTGCAACATCTTCAATAATAGGGGTACTGCCTGCTGACAGTGCTTCATAAACTCTGGAAGACACATTGTGTTAGAAGTAATTATGATTAGATACTCACACACACAAATTCTATATCATGTGAATAAAAATGGTGAACTGATTCCTGAAATCCCCTTTTATGATTAAGACTTTATCATCATTCTCGTCATTGTTACATCCATTTTACAAGTTCACATGGGTTAGCTGTAGTAACCTGATGGCAGCCCTCATTGCTGCATGATCTCTAGCAGCCTCTCTTGGCAGGTTCATATCTCTGAGGTTATTTCTTACAACCTCTCTGCATTTCATTCTTGGCCTACCCCTAACTCTCATCCCCTTCTTATTCCAACTCTGGCATTTTTTGACCCTATTGGCCACCTCTGTTCTTCACAATACTCTCAATACCCAGCCATCCTCTTAGCTTTGAACTTCATATTACACATCCACATCACCATTCCCATTACAGCTCCCTCAAGTTTACACATGTCGCCCTCCTTAACTGCCTATGTTTCACTGCCATACAATATCACACTTGTTGCACACCTTTCCTTTTACACCATGAGAATGTCCTCTCCCCCATCAAAAAAGGTAATTATTCCCATTTATTACCAGAGAGCCTACCATACAAACATTCTTGCCCTGGGGTTCCTGAGCTCCTTGGGGTAAGTGTTTCTCATGTGAGCCTATATATCTTTTTTACTTCTACCATGAAATGACTGAAAAGTCAATGAAGAAAGACTGCTGTGAGACTGGGTCACATTGCTAATCACAGTAGAGGAAGTCTCCAGTCTCTAATTTTTCAGTTCAAACAAACATAAGGAAAAGTGATGCAGCCAGTGTGCTCCCCAAACCATCCTCAAAAACAAAATTTCCTACATATCTACAGTATTTCTGTTCACACCGAGGACTTCTTTTTTATAAACACCAAGGCTTGGTATAACAAACTGGCCTATATGACTTGCCAAGTTACTCAATGTGAAATTGGATTCCTTTCTCGAAACCTCACGAGTCAAAAGGGCCCCATAAACTGACACATCAGCCTGAATAAACTGGATTCCATGCAAAAGTCAATAAAAACCCTTATTGTAATACCAATGCTTAGAATTGTATGGCCTAGCCAAAAAATGTCAGGTGCATACTTGGAGAATGAGGCAAATTGCACATAGCTCCTACTATTGATGTAGCCAAGCTGGGAAGATATATGCTCAGGTGGCAACAGTAGCTGCAACAGTG